TATTAATTTTTTAAATAAAATAATAACCTATATTCCAGTTTTTGTTAACTTTTATACAATTTGATATTGTTCCCTTATGTTCTCGCTGCTTTGTAACGCATACTACCACCCGTAACCATGTGTCCCTTAAAAATATTTTCTTACGGAAATTGGCGTGTACATTTACTATTTGACCCCTTCCCTTTCATTTTGTAACGAATCGTTTAACGTGTAATTGTACGAATTAATTAGTACATACAAGTGCCGGTACATTTAGTGTTAACATATATTTCATGTATACCCTGGTGTCGCTTTGGCTACATTGAAATATCATGCATACATGCCAGTAATGTAAAATGCTTTGTTTGATTTATTTACTGCGTTTGAAATGTGTATGAATTATATAGTGTATATATATGATCAGGAATAATACACAAGAATATAGAAAAATTAATAAATAACTATGTTTATTGATACTAGAACAGGTAGTCTTTAAATATAAAGAACTATGTAATAACAGCACACAACTAAAAGCAACACATTCTCAAACTCTCTTTCCGACATTTCCACTCAAAAATCATTTTCTCCTCCACAATCATTCTTCTCACAGCACTTTCAGCAAACTCTTAAACACACCCCTTCAAGGCTGAACTGGTAACCTTGAGCCTGCGACGTTATGCAAACCACTTTCTCTCGACAGTTACTGCTTTCCTCCTTTATGGCCCTTCGTTCACGTTCATCCTCACATTCACGCTGCTTAGAAATACTCTAAACTGCACTAAAATCCTAGATACTACAATTATATGAATAACATACCACGCGAAATAATTACAAACGAAGCACGATCCACAACAAATACTACAAATTCGATCATAGTCGCGAATATGTCATTGACATTAACGATGTAATAGCTCCTTTTAAGAAATCATTCATCTCTTTCCGACGTACTGTATATTCTATTGCCGACGCGATGCAGTCGTTCTCATCGAAAGAAAAAAGGTCAAGCGAGATCGCGAACAGTGAATTTCGGGCCAGCGAATGTTCGTGTAACTTTTACCCCGGACGGGTTTGGCCCGATTCGCCCGGTGTATAGAAGAATAGTTCAAGTCGCTAAGGACACCGATTAAAATTTCCCAGACCTGGTTGATTTGTACGGTCGAACGCGTGGCGGCGGCTGCTCCACTTTGAAGTGGGCAGCTGGCAAAGTTCCTATATATAAAACAAGTAGGTACGAACGGAACGTAAAGCAGACGCCGGAAATTCACCCAAATATTTAATCGCGTCAGATTCCCGCGAACAGCTTAGAAAGCGTTAACTCGATTTCTTATCGCGCTCTAATAAATCCGGAAAATTAAGCATATCCGGCCGGAGGCGGTGCGCACGTTCGCCATTCGTCCGCTCCTCAGTCCGTCTGTGTCTGCTTTCCACGTCGTTGGGTGGATTAAAATTTGCTCGATGTCTTCCGGTCCTTGGCCCAGTTTTTCCCCCTTTTACCGATCGTTTCCGTTTTCTTGAAAAATCGAATCGGGGTGTTTCCTCTATGAAGTGAATTGCAATTAAAAAAATTGAAAGACTTTTTATTATTATTCTTTTATTATTACTCTTTTTTTATTATTCTTTCATTGTTTTTCAGTGTACAATTTAAGCGCAATTTTCTTTTTTGTAAGTAATCCTTGGTTATGATAGTGCTAATTCATACTGTGAATGACATGGTTATAATGTAACGATATAATATAGTCAACGTTAGACAACTTCCACTCTCCTGCTGGAAGATTTGAATTGATTCGCTAAAAAGATTCGCAGTGAAGAAATATTGATAAAGAATAACTTGATTATACTCTCGTCGTCCCGATAGTACCGTATGCAAGTTTCATAATATATTTTGAATGCGGTAAGTGTTTCGTCAGAATTCCATTCATAATCACGTGCCTACAAAATGTCCGCCGAAGACGCAAGAATTCAAGAATGCGTTTCGCGTGTCCGATGAACAGATAAAAATATCTAGGACGCGACTTTATTAAATTCTCTGATGAACGACGAACGAAATTATGGAAGTTTAGACACACTTTGTATTAAGTATCGCGAACCGGGAATTTCTGGTGAACAATAAATAATAAGGTGAAAGCGTCGATAGATTCTGCGGCGATAGAATTAAACTTTCGAGCATGTCGTTACCTTATTTTCCGGGAAATGTAATGATCGGTGTTTTATTAAAATTTGGTTAAAAAAGCATTTCGCTTCTATAATTTACCCGTGCATGGAAATATGATCAGATGTCGGACTTACAGGAAAAAATTGGAGGAAAAAATCTCAACTGATATTTCTGCATATTCATGAACAGGTTAAGTTGCCGTTGAATTTTTTTTCAATATTTCCAGATGAAAATCTGAGCCTTTTAATCGTAAGCGTCTTTTAATAAAAAAAAACATCCCATCGTTTCGTCCACGCGCACAGCGGCGGACTTCAAGGATGAAAAATGTATTAAACATTTAATTATCCCACATTTGAAAGCATAAGCTATATTTTTCGAAACTTTCTGAACAAGCGCCTGCTGTCGTTTCCCATTTAGATGCAAATGAAATCAAACGTGAGCCGAGCGAAACAAGCAAATGATATTCAAAATCAATAATAAGTTTGCATATTCTTTCCGAAATGTTCGGCTAAGAATAAACTATCCACGGAAGTCGGCGTATCGAGCGACGTATTATTAACTCGTCGGTCGCCATGACAGTCACCGATGACCGAAGCTTGCAAATTGTTTGAAAACAATTCTGATAAGAAAACTACTGTCGAATCCAAGTATTTGGCAACTTACATAACTAGATAATGCCATGAATACTAGAAACTTTTAAATTACAGAATAATTATTATCGCATATAACGCCCACAATTTTAAATTTCAAAATTTCAAAATTACAGAACAAGTATTATCGCGCACAACGTTCAGAATTTAAAATCTGAAAATTATAAAAATCAGCGTTCGTTTCAGTAGCAAGCTCTGCAGACACAATATTTCATCGAATGCAATAAATCGTATGTACAAAATGCGAATAAAATTCAAAGAATTTCACCAATTTCCTACACCGTGCACTCTGCATTACAAATTTAGCTGCAAACATACAAGAAAGTAATTTCATTTATTTTATGCAAGATAGAAAATGTTGAGAATCGCATATTTGTCGTAATATTCCGGTCACGGACGTGTTAAAGCTTGAACTAAATAATTTCATTTGTTCATGGAACGCACGAATTTCGCGCAATCGCGGTGTACAGGAGTATATCATTGATCTCTAATTAATACGTACCAAAGTAATGCTTGATTTAATGCTGCCGAATGTATGTACATATATTCCTACACGTTCGCACGGAATGGCCCGGTATCGGCGTTCGATGGAAAGCGAAAGATGGAGTATAAAGAACACTTAGTAGAAAGAAAATTTACGACGACGATGGGGACGCTTACGTTTCGTACGAATCCCACGGGACATTGAATTCCATTGAATGCTCGACCAAACGTGCACACGGAAAATATAACTTTTTAATTAACAAACCTCACTGGTTTGGAACATCCAAATAATACTGGCGAGCAGCCATAAATATCGTTAGAATAAACAGAATGTATAGAAACGACGTGTTAAAATGATTTAACGAACTCGCGGCGGAGATCTCGCGTATGATATGTGGAGCTGTCAAAAGCGTGCCACCCGCGTATTTTATTTCCACGTAATTTCGAAACTGACGGGACGAAAATAAATGTTCGAAAATCAATTAAACAGAAGAAATGGAGAAGCTTCGATTTCTTTGAGAGGGGAAAAGATCCTTCGAGTTAGATCCATTTAGAAAGAACAGTGTTAAAAAAAATCGTTTGAATCGCTAATTAAATGATTATGTAGGAATGTAAATATATAAAAACCTGTGCAATGTCTACTGGCACTTTTTGAATTTATTTGATAAATCTTCCAAGAGTCTTGGTGTGAGATTCTTTATGAAGAAATCGATGACAAGTTGATAACTATCTTACTTCTTAGATTAAAGTCTGTTCGTGCGTTCGATTTATTGGAAAGTTTTGTATCCTTAACATTTCACATTTTAATGACAGGGGCAGAGTATTTCATGCGGAAACTATTAAGGAACTGTCAGAAACATTAGGTATGGCGGTAAGAAAGAATGACACAGATTGAGGATGCTGATATAAAGTCGTACTTTTATGCTCTCTTTCATCGAAGTCAGAAATAAATAAGGTTCTACTAAATTCAGCACTCAGAAAATCCGGTAGATCAACATGACCCATTTTGAGATTCTTCTGTTAAAATGATTGAGCAAATACAAATACAAGAAAAATGACACAGCTTTGCTTAAGAATTACTAAACAAATTGACACAGAAGAATTGAAATTTCAGTAAAGCATTGTTGTAGCTTACATAAGAAAATACAAAGTACTCAATTCTACTGTCATCTCATATGATAGTTCTAACATTGCTATATCTCGATTTAAAATTCCATTAAAATTTATTAAGAAAATTCTTACTTCGCACTGTCACTTATTATTCCATACTCTATAAATAAATTCTAATTGCCAATGCTCGTTAATATAAGGTATTAAATCGTCCCATAAATAATGCAATTCCTTGTAAACATTTTAATAGAAAACTACAGAACTTTCTCGAAAGTTGCATTAAAAAGTTAATCGAAAAATGGAAAAAGATCATACGAAACAATGTTTAACACGTCAGTAACTAAAAAGTAACGTAAGTATTAATTTCTCGATTTTATAGAAGTTAGTACAAAACCAACAATATTTATGGGATAACCTAATATTTAACAAATCTTCGTATATATGGTTTCGTGAACGCAGAAAAATTCGCAGTTTAGTCGCGAGACGTGCCAATTGTTGATAGTCTGTGCCACCTACCTGAGATATGGGACTAACTGTAGACACATGAACCACTCCTCCCTTCTCTTTAATCCTTTGGTTCTGGGTTTTGTGGCGTCTAGCGTGTAGAGGACAGTCATCCGCGTTCATCTCGAACGGAACGATCGCCCGAGAAGCAGCCGGAAACCCTCATTTTCCGTCCGATTAATCCGATGGTCGAAGACTCGATGACGCAAGAACCCGTGGAGCAACTAGAAAGTTTCGAATGCGGTTTTCTCTGAAGATTCTCGCGCGAAAATTACCCGTAATTGACGATCCACTGGAGTGTTAGTGCCCGATCAAAAATTGATTCCATCGAATAGTTCTTCGTGCAGCCGAGATATTGTTTTCGATCCTTCGACAGTGAAAATATTAACGAGTGAAGGGATTCGTGGTATTTATGTGCACGTGAGTGAATAAATTTAACGTGATTTTAGAACTTATCGAATAGATATGCATATTTATATGAAAATTAACTTCGGTCAAAAGTTGGTCAGAATTTAATCAGCTTTCATTCGGAATCTATTACGATTGTTATATATAATAAAATGCACAAATATTTGTTAGAATTCTGTTTCTAGGGTGTTGTTAACAAAAATTCGTATCTCCGTGAATATATTCGCTTTCTGTTTATCATATAAATTGAATTACGTGGCTTTTAAGTGATACCGAATCATTATAATTAGCCGTTAATTAAATTTTTCTGATCATTTTCCAAGCATTTGTTAATCATATAGGTAGCACGGGGGAATACTGAACGATACATATTAATCAGTAATTACTATCACGACATTTTGCAATCCCTCATTTGATCTACAACGCGAAATCAGATCAAGAGTGAAATATTGTAATGCGCGACTTCATTTTGGGGAAAATTGATTTCGAACGTTTATTGGAAATTTATGTTATTCGGTACGGTTTGGCTAACGGGTCTGCTCATTGCTTACCGTACCTACTCGTCGCTGATATTCGCAATTGCGTAACATCATTTTGTTTTACATAGATCCCATTATCCACCATGAATTTATTTACATTTATTATCGACAGAAACCTGCATGCCGTATACTCAATTTTTGTATATTAATGAAATTTATTTTCAAAGTTTTTTAAGTGGTTGCCTGAATGTGAAAACATATCGTTATATGAGCCGTTTTTTTTTCAACTGGCATAAGTTTATTTCTAGAAAAAAATGAGTTAATGGTAGTTTTAGTGAAATATATATATCCTCCTTTAATACTTATCATGACACGATGACGCACAATATCCTCATAAATTAATCAAAAGAAGTTTAACAGTAAAATATTATCGCGAGAATGTTTGTTAAAAGTGGAGTAAATCCATTTGCAGCTAAAAAATCGTTTATTTTCTATAACAAGCTTATTAATTATTATTGAATAATAAAATTTAACAAGCATATGGTTTTAAAAATATTACCCGAATTGATCAACGTTTGCCAATATTTTTTATGTTTATTCAAACGTAAACCCTTATATGTTAAGTGTTAAGTGTTTTCTGAATTACTCGAAAAAAATCGTAAGATGCAAAATAACCGATGTCGAACGAAAATGTTTAATAATGTAACTAAGCTGATAATAATGTAATGCAAAGATAGTAACGTTAAATAACTAATAATTCCTGTTTTTCTTTGCTACGAAAGAATAACTCCACGGAAAAACGGTCAAGATTTTCATGGCGCTGAACGTGTTAAATATCTCAACGTATGAAAAAATAGACTTACGCCATTTAAAAAAAAGAACTGCTCATATAGGAGTCGACAGCTGATTCGTTCTTCTGTCGTTCGGTTCATACAGATAACCGGTGATCAGCGTTGATATCTGGGACACGGATTCGGTATTGCTTAATTTCACGACGCGTAAAGGGGAGTTCCGCTACGACGAAAACGCATCGGTCACTCGGTAAAATTATGCAAACATCGTTTAGTTGTGGCTACAGACCTACGCTCGTAATAATTTAGCTCAGTCGACAAGCAGGTTCCAACGCGTATCGATTGATCAATCCGCGGACACGGAGACAGTCGAATTATGATCACCTAACGACAGATTAGACGCAATTGATTATACCGCTAACGTGAAATCGATAGAGCACTTTACTAAAACTTTTCGTTAACGGTGAAACAAGGGTGGTGAGGTTTTCTAAAATATTTCAATCAATTTGAAAGCAGCTGGTACATTTTAACACTGAATTTACGAACATTTATTGTACAGTTTGCCACAATGCTTGACATATTAATCATTCAGATACTTCTATCACTTTACACATCCAAGTGCTCCACAAACAAACAGAAATCACAAAATAAAATGAAAAATATAAAAATAGCATAAACAATAATGTTAATTCCCCTTCCAAAACAGTTAACATAACTGACGAAATATATTTTTTCATAATCCATGATCAACGATTAAATATCACCGACATATAATACGCCTTTTCCAATTGTCACAAAAATTTCGTTACCTTTTGTTTTACCACATCGAATCGACGCGACTTTTGGAAGAAACGCGGAAGAATTCATTACGAACGGAATTCATTCCGGCTCGAATAGTCCGACACTTCGGCCGCCCGTTAAAAAATCACCACAGCCGACTAATCGCTTAATTCCGGCATTAAATTTCGGGTGGGTGATCGCAATTTAAGCCGCGGTTAACGCGCGGACCGAACAAGCGGTCGCGCAGCGACCTTGCGGTGTTTAATCGGCGGAAAAACCGCGATCGGACCGTTTTCTTTTTTTTTTCTTCTCCTTTTCGCCGTCGCCGGAAGATGAAAACGACTTTTTGCCGTTGGAAATCCGCGGCCGAAGGGTTCTTTTTATCCCGAATGAAAAAATTCGTGACACCGTCGCGATGCTCCGTTGCGACCGTATCTGTCGTGGAACGAGGGGGAGAGAGAAAAAAAAACTTTCGCGCATCAACCGAAAATCGTAAAAATACGCCGTTACCGCGAGCCATTTGGAAAGATCGATCGAACCCGCGAACACTTTCCGAATGATCGATGTCCCGTTTCGCGGCGTCTTTCTCCGAAATGGACGATTCGTTTGTCCCACGAATAAATCACCGATTCTCCTTTGCGGTACTCCGCGTCTGGTTGAACAACGATTCAAACATTGAAACGACGACTGGAGACTTTCGGAAATTCGAAGAACGAGTAATTAACCCTTTGCGCTCGACAGATGATTCTCAGTCACTACTAGATTTGAAGTAATAAGATTACAGTTTTGTATATGATATTATGCTTTGTATAATGCATCGGTAGGTGATTTATTAAAATAAAATAGCTTTGTTTGTTAACCTCTTGCCCTATGATTTAGTTCTTAGATATGATCGATGCAACTACTCTATCGTTAATGATTTATCAATAAAAGACACGATTTTTATACTTATTCTACGTCTACGTTTACTTCAGAGTTTAACGATTAAGAATAGAAAAGTATTTAATTTATATTTAGAAAATATGAATTAGATTTCTCAAACTCAGTCCGAAATTTTCGACACGAATCTGACATGATATTGTATGTGATGGGGTTAATTTATGTACGGTTTCTGACTAATTAGTTTCAAAGAATGACGTTTATGTCTTATTGAAATGTATTGAATATTTCTAGTGACACATTTTCGACTGTAAAGGGTCATTCAACTCGTCATGAAGGAATGGCACGCGCTAAGGTGTGCACACTTCTCAAAGAGATCGCAACAACTAACTAGTTCTAGTGTTAACACTAGGTTTACATTTCTCGTACAGTTTATTGCATTGTCCCTAGGAAAATTGATGTTCGTCCATTTAGATCTTGGAAATCGCAGGTTCGAAGACAGACAATTAGAATACGTATTCGTATAATTAATATACTGTACTTTCAGTCGACATTAATATTATTCAGGTGACAGATGAAACAATAAATATACAGACATATTCCATGGAACGATTTCTAAGCGGTCGCGTGATTTAAAGAGTCAATCGGTTAGCCAAACCACCGGGAGTCCTGTTCATTAAAATTTCAGTACGATTTTCGCGCGTATACCGGGCGGAAGTTACTAGCGAAGTTCGTTTATTCGGATTATGTGATACGCGGGCAAAAAAGGAAAGAAAATTGTTTTCACCGGTGCTCGCGCGTTGCAGGTGTTGCACGTGTTACGTAAAACGAAACGCCCGCGATTGTTTCGTCGGCGCACTGGGATATAGGTGGAGGAAGAGAGAGGTCGCAGCTTGTTTTTCCAACAACGAGCGCAATTCTCGCGTTCGTGCGCGGCCGCGCATCAGAAAATCAGTATTAATTTGCGCTTGTTCGCGATGTATTTTGTACAGGAGAACAGTTTATCGACGAAAAGAAAAAAAAGTATTTTCAGATGCACACGTGAACGCTTACATTCCGATGTAACCGTTCGGCGCGAGTACGCGGGCGCGTAAAGTATAATCCAGATTTGTTGCGAAATAAATCGCGTACACGCCACACGGAATTTATTTCGCCGTGGACTCGAATCGGCCGACCGAATTCGTTATCATCTAAATATTGAGCGATTCTTTCTCGATCAGTTCTCGAAAATCGGTGATACCCATCGATCGTATTCTCGCGATCGCTGCAGGTGAATACAAAGATTCTCGCCTGAAGTCTATTGATTGTTTATCTTGTTAACCTGTTAACTGTGGAATTTATTTTGAAAGATCTCTCGTTTTGCGCGTAATAGACTGCGCAAACGAAGTGTGTACTCGTTAAACGCAAGACGAATGCGCCTAGAGTATATTTTAATGAAAGCCAAAACAAAATATAGAAGAATTACATGTTTATCTGAAAAAATGAATAATTCATCGTTGAAAAACAGTATCGTTTCAAGCTTTGAAATGACGTGTATACTCGTGAAACGCAGTTAACTGGTTAAAGGTGCATGTTAACACATTGCCGATCGCTAAGGGTTTGCAGAAATTGCCTACCAGACCGGCGATTTTAGATATGTGCAATTATTTTGGAAGTTTAATGAAACTGCAATAATTTGTTGATGTTATATATTTGATTGAACCTTCTTTCGTTTAGACATAAGTATCTCTAAAATTTTGTTCGTTTATGATATATGGTGAAACAGTTGCCTTTGTGTAATGGCACGATACAAATATTACAGATGTAGCACGAGAAAACTCGTTTCCGGTCGCCAACTATGTGATATAAAAACGAGAAATCTCGTTCTCGATCGACAATGTGTTAATTGACTAATACAAGTGACATTAAAAAAAGAAATTAATCATTGTCATGTTTGGTGGTTTTTTCACCTCTTCATTAGTCTTTTAACCCCTTCGCTACCAGTATTTCTTTCAATAACAGTCTCCGGGGTTGCAATATTTTATTGAACAAAATATATCGTCTATACGAACTACAAATAGTAATCAAGAAAAATATCTTCCTCCATATTATACCATGCGTTGCAATATTAGATGAAAACACATAAATGTGATTTACTCTTCTTTACTCAAAATATAAAACATTAACCGTCGTAAATATGCGACGCTGGTAGTGAACGTGGTAATTAATTAATGTTATCCGTTGCGTGTAATTAAAAAAAAGTGAAATACTGGAGTATAATGTAATATGACATAATAACTGGAGCACATTAAGGTATATTTTAAGTAAATTCCAGTAACAAAGATACTTTCGTATTAATTATTTAATATAAATAACAATATGTTGTTCATTTATAGCCGATTCCAAATAAAACTTATTTTAGAGTATTTTATTCCCGTTTACCACGTTTCTTGTTTAATGGATAGAAAGCTGGGAATGCGTGGTTTCGTCGATGAGATTTTTTCTCTCTTTCCACACGCGAGTCCAATGTATTACATTTTTTAGGCGTAACCAGCGCCTTACGAACTAGTGCAACGTTCATAATGAATATGTGTTTGCAAATCAGTCAAATCTGATGTTTGACGAAGTCACTGAAAACTTTAACTTCCTTCATAATAAATGTCCTGTGCAACCTCGCGCGCGTACTACATACGTCGATACACTGTATTATTGATTGCCTTGCGCATTCGAGTATCTCCAGTTGATTTTTGTTTGCGCCGCTTCCGTTCACTAAAGGTTTTTCCAATTTCCATGGAATTTATGGTAGAACAAGAACACACTACAAATCCAAGTGAATTTAGGAGACACCGCGGAGTTTAGAGCACGAATGGTGCTATTACTTTAATAGTCAAACGAGAAAATGATCTATAGCGGTTTTAAAGCCGAACAAGATTGAACTTTTAGCCTGTTGTAAAACATTCTACCCCCATATTACAACATAATCTCTTTCATTTCATTTTAATGCAACAATCAATTATATAATGCCATCATTTAATGTATAAAAATAAATATTTAGAAAATATTCATATACATACAGATACTTTCACTACTAATATTACACTATACATATAATAATTTTTCCTCTTCATTTCAATACATTATCCATTATTTTATAATAATCATTTTCAATAACACTATTACTGAAATCGTTCAGTGACAGAATGTAGGAAGGAATGAGTATTCAAAGTCACCTCGAGAGATATTCGTATTGTACCTCAGCATCGTGGTAATTATTAACATTAAACATACTGCGATAGTAAACTGATCGGTTTTAAAATTTGATAAAAAATTTAGCGTTTTCTTTTGAACATTTAACTTAATACAATTCCTATGTTTTCCGATTAATCAATATTTCAATTTTTGTTGCCTTTCTTTTCCGTTTCCACTAAGAAAAATTGATCATCTAATTAGTTTATTTATATTTTGTAACCTGTTATTTGACTGGTTACGGTAGGAATAAGTAATATACAAAGTGCCGATACGTTTAGTGTTAATGAATTCGTGTTACGGTAGTACAAGGATGCGTGATCAAAACGGCGCCGTATGAGAATATTATATACGCGCATGTTTCTAAATCGAATCAACGGTAGTATTAAGTAATCCGAGGAATTTCGGTTTAAGAAGATCGCACGAGTAACACGTTTCGTTCTCGTGTTTCGAGAATGACAGTGACGTTTCGTCGACGAGTGATACATTGAAATTCTGTGACCATTGCCGTTTCGCCGTGAATCGCAGAAGAAACGAAGAGACAACGAGACTCGTGAAAGGGAAATATGAATTTTTTGTGCCGTGCAATCGCCTACTATTTTCTAATTGTTTATTTAAAGGGTCTACTGCAAACCTTGAAGCTCTATTCCGGACATCCGGCGGATTTGGTAAAGTGCACAGCGGACTTCAACGTGAGTATACTTCCAATTTTTAAAATCGTTCAATGGATTTCATAGAAACAGTAGCACGTCCGTATGTGTGTGATATTACGCGATATCAAACTGATTTGAACGTAACGTTACGTTTTTCAATTGATTAAAATTCATTAATCGATGGATAATGATTTTAATTAATTAATTATTAAAAAGACAACGTGCAACAAATATTCGGGTATTTCTAATATATGGATGATGAATATAAATCATTAAAAAATAACGCTTTTTTCTTGGTAATTAAATGTATAATGTTGATGAATAATTAACAAAACGAGATTACACATACGATCGACCATGTGACCACGAGAAGATGCTCCCTTGTTCATCGCGTGCCCACTGCCGCGGTTTACATGAACGCCTCAACACTTTATTATGGCTACGAATTATTTTTGTTGGGGGAGTTTTCTGGAGTATCTGTTTTACTTCAACATGTAACTTGTCTTCTTAAACTTGATATATCAGTGTACTATTTATAGTATTTATCATTGTGAATGTTTGCTGTTCTATTTTTCTCAGTTTCTTTCGGTTAGATATATATTGTTCCAACAATTATAAATATTCTTCATCGTAGACGAAATATGCTCAAAAAAGATTTGTTTTCTTTCGTCTAGCATTATTTACCACGATATACTAAGTTCCCAATCTTATTCATTTTACTAGTTTCCTTATCTTAATCTTACTTATTTTATTAGTTCCTTTACGAAACGTTCACGAAGTGATTCGTGGTTTGAAATAGTTTTAAATGCTGCATACGAAGTTGTTCCAAAATATTTTTAAATTCTCTTCAAACATCGTACATTGTTCCCATAACACTCGTATTTATCCATTTCCTACGAAACTGTGTCGCAATTAAAACATGAGTTATCAGAATTTATAAGTGCTGGCGTAAAACGGCTACGCATAAAACTGATTTAACAAGTTTCTATGGCACAAGGAAATGTTAATAATTAAATATCCATTTCGGGTTACGTCGACGCGAACGGTGTAAAAGATTAAATTTTTCAACGTCGCGCACGAGCCATTTTGATTTTTACGTATGACTTTTGTGCAGGATCAAGGCCGTTTTTTTTTTGCGACGTAACGTCGAGGAAAATTCATTTCATCCCGATGCGTGAATTTATACCTCGTTCGATATAGCGTGCATATTGTAATGTTTCATTTTTCGCAATTTCCACAAGGCATTCATCCGTTCATTTCATCCGAAAAGAATTATCTACTTTCGATCTTACACTGTGTACAATCAATGCCAATGTAACTAAAAATTTCAATAAATGGAGAATGGAACGATCAATTTTCGGTGAGTCTCTTCATAAAAAATGCGTTTGTGAATTGAAACCATCTGCTGTCGAATCGACCATCAATAAAAACGGAAAATACACATTAACGGGCTCAAACGAAATCGTTATATATCATTTCTAATTTAACTATCAAAATGATGATTTAATTAGCAAAAACTGGTTGACGATAAACAAATTTCAGAATATATTCCCGAAAATTACCTCTCGAATATTTAAACCAAACGTTCTATCCGCTTCACGCATGGAACCGATTAATTAACCCGTTATTCCGAAAAAGTTCGCGAATCAAAATTCCAGAAAAAAAATAACGATCTTTGGCGTGCATCCCGTTCGGTTACACGTATCATAGCTCCTTTTTTGCACAGTGTCCCTTATATAACGCGCTATTCACGAGTAATTCAGGATCGTTAAGTAAATTGCTCCGTATATTCCCCTTTCTGTAATTTGCATACATTACCCCGCGAAAAGACGTCCATAGTAAAATAATTATGCCTGGAACGGTAGAAAAAAAGAGCGACAGAGAGAGAGAGATAGGGGGGAGAGAGAGAGAGAGTGAAAGAGAGAGTGAGAGTGAGAAAGAGCGAGGGGGGATGGTAAAAAAAGTACCAAAAAATCGTGGAAAATTGTCGGTGCTTCCCAATAGGTCACCGAAACCCAATGGGATAGCCCCGGGGGGCCAGCGTTGCACCGCGAATGGATCCCGATGAGTCAGCAACGATAAATCGAGCGATTTATGAAGCGGCACGAGCAACGGACCATTCTCGAGGAATAATCTCGCTATCGACGTGCGTACGCACAGGCAAAGCAGAAACGCAGCGAAATCTTGTCCCGAGTCTAGAGTCGAACGCGCGATTTCTTAACCCTTGAGTTCCTGGTGGCACCGCTTTCATACCACACATTTCAATATCGATAAAATGCGAAGCACCAGTGCGCTAGTCTCGAAGCCACCATCATGAAATCGATATACTTAATGACAGCCTGTGTTTTTCTGAAAGTTAGAATAACATTTTTTATAAGAATATTTGTTTTCATTAAAAATGATAAGTTTGTAAGAGATAGAATATGGAATAGAAATGACAACGAAATAATATTCTGTCATACCGTGTCATACTATATTCACTAATGATAGTAACAAGATTAAATGTAATAGAAGTTCAACCCGCTGTCTTACGATTTCTTTCTCAACTATGATCGATGCGAGTCTCGCAAATGATTTATTGAAAAATAGAAAAAAATTCTAGGCATATGCGACGGAGTTAAACACTTCTTCAGATCGCTATCCTGAAAAGAGTGTCGCAAATTTCTTGTCGATCTATCTACGCGTAAAACCATTCGCAGAAAACAATCATTATTAATCGACTCTCTTGTTCTGATGTTCTCTTGCTGTTGTTGCAATGTTTAATAGCTACTGTTCATCCGGAACGTAGAGGAAGCTTAATAAGACCATCAATTAAGAATATCAATCTACGGGCATCCGTTGTTCATCAACGAGAAACGGATTATAGATAACTAACGCATATTATCACCCATAACGTTTCGTACTAGTTGACTCGGCGCCAGTAAAATTATTGACGTTGTTCCGGAATTATCGAACCAAAACCGAATTTTCTTGCTGATCCCAACGTTCAATTTTCAATTATCTGCTTATTTATCTATATATCTATCTTTCTCTCTCTCTCTCTCTCTCTCTC